CCTCGATCTAAATAAAATAGGCCGGCCCAAATGGACACAAAGGAACCCTCTCCTAGTTTTGGGAAGCTCCCAGAAGTTTCCCAACCGTTTATTTTTCTGTTTTTATTTTTGTTTTCTCTGTACAGGTTTTCGTTTCGTTTTCTCTGCCGGTTTTTGTTTTGTTTTTTCTGTACCGGTTTCATTTTCTTTTTCTTTACTTTTCTTCAAAATGCATAATATTTTTAAAACTTGATGCACTATTTTCCAAATCAATGACCTTTTTGTCAAATTCGATTTACTTGTATATCAAATTTGATGAACTTTTTTTAGATACGATGAAGTTTTTAAAAAATCCTATGATTTTTTTTCAAAATGTAAGTACCTCCTTCAAACTTTTTTGAGTTGGTTACTGTCTTGTTGAAAAACGTTTTCCCGGCAATCTCTGCTTATTAGGGTGGCCTCTAACAGGTCGGAAGAGTACTAAAAATCTGGCTCATAGATAATTTGTTTTCTTATTCGTGAATTTTTTTGAAGTTGGTGAGCAATTTTTGCGAAATCCCTCAATATTTGTTTGAATCCGTGTGAAGTCAACTCTTGGCTGGTCAACTGGTCAACTGTGATCTGTCAACTTATCAACCTTCGGCCCACAAATGGGGCAGTGTGACCGCCAGGAACTGTTTGGGCGCTTAAGGTGTATAAAAAAGTTTCATGTGTATATGAAAATTGTACATTGTATGAAAAAAGTATACATTAACCTATAAAAAATGTTTCATATGCATACAATTAATCTAGACGGCTAAGAATCTGGCAGACCCCTTTACAAAAGGGCTATCACAGATGGTGATAGAAAATACATCGAGGGAGATGGATATGAGACCCACATAAGTTGCCTAACCCAACATATGTGATCGGGGATCCATTAATTATGATATGGGAAAACAATCCAGTGGTCAATTGAGGAGAGTATCCTTGCTAACCCACTATGTTGGAGATGCAACAGTCTCGTAATCTATAAGGCGGGTTGACTTTTGTCTTAATATGTTCCAAAACTTGTGTAAGCAAGATGCTATCATACAGATCATTCTTTGGAGTAACACACGGACCTATATGAGTCCGACTGCTAGTCATAGTCATGATATTGGGTAATCTCTAGGGAGCTCATGAACAGGTCAGGAGTATGACTAATAATTAAGGTCCACCCATGGGTTTAGACTTCGGCAACCACGTACAAGTTAACAATTGGCAAAACTTCTGCAGGCTAAACCGACAATTCAAAAAATAGTTCATTGTTCAGTTATGAAGAAGTAACCCAGTTGCTCTAGGTGGAAGTTCAACTTAGCAGTCTCCACTGAAAATTTTGATATATCAAAACATTGTTTGGAATAGATAACAAAATAACGTGTCTCGAGATCTTGCGGGGAATTGTTGGATTATAGATGGGATTTGGCCCATATAAGACAATAATCCCTGGTTAATCTGCAAAGGCCCATTTAGGTGCACTTCAAGAGGTGTGAAGTTTATTACCATACTGCTAGTATAGTAAGAATGAGACCCCTTTATAAGGGATGCTCTACCACAAGCTATTGGGAACTTGGGAAGCGAGGTCATACACGTGCGCTCCTCCTCCATCGCCGCCTGCCTAACCTCGACGTGCGCTCATGCCGCGGTTTGCGGGAACGAGCTGAGCCGAGCCTTATTTTTGCCGGTCAGGATGGTTAATTAATTGTGAATTAATTAACGAGTCGCTAACAGAAGTGCCACTGTCCGAGACATTGGCATGTGGGCTGTTCACGGACTCAGTCGTGCGCCTAAGCGAAGGCCCATGTACCCAATGGCCTACCTAAGGAGGCGCTAGCTTGTGGAGTGAACTCTAACACACTAACTAGTAACTCCCTCCTTGCACAACCCTAACCGTCATCTACTATTCCTCTCACTATGCTACTTCGGCCGATGCCATCCCGACTACCAGGTGCATGGTTGGTCGAGAGAGCAGGTGCCTCCAGAACCTCATAGTTCGAGATCCTGCCAGGGAGAACAGAGATAAGGTTTTTGTGGAGCATCTCGGTGTGGCTGCTCCCGATCCGTCCCCGTTTCCGTCCTCCTCTACTTCGACTACTTCCCTTGCATGGACCCCATGGCCGACGATGCCTCTGCCCAGAAGAAGTCCACAGACGACGCCGAACCTGCTGCTGTAGCCGCCACATTGGCATGGCCAGCCGGATGGTATTATTCGTTCAACCCCAGTTTGCTTGTTCATGTGCTAGATGTATACGTTGTGTTCATAGATCTTTTAATTATATGTGTTGTTTGTGCTTACACGATTAGATATCCGTATGAATTGCATAATGTGATTGCCATGTTTATTATCTACTTGTGGATTAGATTAATCGAAAAGGTGTTAATATTTCCTGCACATATGTTATTAATCTATGTTACTACCTCCTTCATATGTGTGGTAACATAACGAATTTCATTTATTATTTTATAGAGTCATTTTACATCGAGAAACGCTATGTGATGTGTGTAACATATTATGTTGCTCTATTTGCCTCTCTCCTCATAAATTATGTGCATTCTGCATATGTGGCATGCATGTTACTACTTAAATTACTCACACTATGAGCAGGCTACTTCATCATGTTCCCTACTATTTTTTTGTGAATCAGGTTATAGCAAAGCATATAAATCGATGGTTCGGATATGTTAACTCTGGATAATGTATATACTCATACGCGTAGTACATAATAAGTAGATAAATGTGTTGGTACATAGCCATGAAACTGAACCTTACACGCATAGCACAGATTATTGTATACCCACCCATCTATAGTATTTGCATGGATACTGATCCGACTAAAATTCACTGACTTAAATCACCTGACTTGGTGGACCACAGCAAGCTAGATCACTTGTTAGCCACCCAAGGTAATACTAATAAGATGACTTAAGATAGAAAATCTTGGTCCACCAATAAACATGTTTGATGAGCTCGCTTCTTGGCTGCCATGTGTAGGACACTAGTGTTGCTGTGGACGGCGAGTTGCTGCCTGTAGACACAGGTTGGAGCTGCGATGCACAGTTAACCCAAATACCTCGCCCATGTCCAGCGTCTCCGGGCTTGCCCCACCCGGAATCGCCCAGTCAAATTGGTACAGGAGATTGGCTAGCACGAGCTCAAGCGTCGTTGTCGCCATCAGGGCTCCGGGGCACTGCCTACGGCCAAACCCAAACGGGATGAACTCCATCTGCGGCCCCGGGCTGTACTCCACGTTCATGGCGTCGCTTCTCTCGAACCTCTCGGGCCTGAACTCCGCGGCGTCCTCCCCCCAGTGCCTCGGGTCCCTCCCCACTGCGAATAAGTTTATCATCACATGGATGTCTTTGGGTATGTTGTAGCCCATTACCTGGCACCTATCTCGGGCTGCCCTGCGCATCACCGCGGCGGGCGGGTGTAGCCTTAGTGTTTCCTTGATCACCATTCGAAGGTAGTGCAGATTGCCGAGGTCTGCGCTCGTTACCGTGGATAGCCCTTGTGCTAGACCCTGTCGAACTTCGTGTTTCGCCCTTGTCATCAACTCTGGGTTGCGGATTAATTCTGCCATGGCCCATTCTAGCGTGGTGGCAGTGGTGTCAGTTGCAGCTGCAAATATATCCTGGAACCATGTCGCAAATGCATGCACAGGTATATTATTGTGTGCGTGAGCGTCCAAATACACAAAGGGAGCTATATACATGAAAAATAATGACTTACGAAGATGACTGCGCCTATAATGTCAGACGTGAGAGGGAAACGGAGGGTGTCTTCCTTCTGTAGCCTAAGGAGCACGTCTAGCAGGTCCTCGTTGTCTTGAGTGCCGGCGCTTGCGGAGGCACTTTCTTTCATCTCCTTGCGCCCCAACGATGATGTCCCTCAGGATTTGCTGTACCCGGGCGTGGCTCCTCCTCAGGTCGCGCGCGGCGCCGCTCAACCACCGTACCAACCGCGATGACGGGAAAAGGTGAACGAGGCTGAACCCTCCCACAAGCACCATCATCCTATCGAGCTCATGGAGGTACTTTTCTTGCTGCTGGCACTTGCCACCGAACACTGCCCTCGCGATGATATTGTTCGTAAGCTTGGCCATCTCCCGGCTGAGGTTGATGGTGGCGGCCGGCGAGGTAGAAGACGCACCGAAAATGGAATCGACGAGGTGCGCGATCTCGTCTTGCTTGATGGAGTCCATTCGCCGCACTTGCCTCGCGCTGAGCACCTCGACGATGCACACCTTGCGCATCTGCCGCCAGTGCTCGCCATAGGGCGCAAAGACAAGCGCTTTGCCGCCGCAGCTTACGAGGTCACGCGTGGGCGCGCTCGGACGGGTGGCGAAGACGAGGTCCTTCGTCTTCAGCACCTCCATAGCCGCCTCAGGCGTAGAGACAACGAGGGTGGGCACCTCGCCGAGCCGGAGCAGCATCAGCGGGCCGTACCGGCGCGATAGGCGGAGCAATGCGTGGTGGGGCAGCGTGCCGATGAGGTGATGAAGGCTGCCGATGACTGGAAGGTTCCATGGATCTGGAGGAAGCTTTGATCTGTTTTCCTTAGCGACGAAAGGCAGGCAGAGAACCAACGAGATTAGAATCGTGCCTACAGCGGCTAGACCGAAGCCGTAGGAAAGTTGATCCATCTACAAGTTGTTACCCTAAAATCCGTGATTACTTTAGATTGTGTGCTAATGGGCAGTTATTCTGAATTCTTGGTCGAGCATATGGTCCTATATACGCCCGCGCAATAATCCTAAGACAAGCAAACCAAAACGTACGGACCAACCTATAGGGAGTACGTACTAAAATAAAAAAAAACTATCGGCAACACGTGTACTAATCTAATTAATTAGCACTAATAGTGTCTGTGCCTTGCAAATAGAAAAATAACACATACGTTATAAAATTTTATTTACGAACAATCTACGATTGGATGGTTAATTGGCAGGACAGTGATATCCACATCCCATGACGGTTCAAGTCCTAGATTTGGCACCCATGCTTGCATTTTCATGGAATTATTTTAGGCCTTCCGGCAATGTGCGTTTAGTGAAAGAAGATGTTCCTGTCAACTATGAAGGCATCTGTGACGACTTCGTAAGTCTCAAGATGATGTGCCGGCTCAATCTCTCGAAGGTGTCCATAGGGTAAGATGTGCATGCGTGTGTTCAAAAGGATGAATGCATATATGTATATATGAGTGTTTACGCCTATACAGTGTTTAACAAGGAAATATTTAACTGCTGCGACACAAGAAATGGATGAAAGATGCGTGTGCCCAAGAGTTCTATTTAACAAACACATGGATGTGTGTTGACAAATGCAGTCGTTTTTTTTTCATCATGTTTCCTCCTGAGTCACTCTTACGTTTTTCTTCTCCGTATGTTGGATTTTGTCATAGGATCGATCACATCAAATAATCGTAAACACACACCATCAAAAAGTTTTAGCCAAGGGTACACCTATCTCGTATCCTAAAATTTATCTTTATTTCTTCTCTATTTTCTTGATACAAACTCACACGCCTAGCTGTATATATATATAGGATAAATATTTTCTTACCACCCAACCGTAGTTACCCCCATGTGAGTTATGTATGTTGTATGTAGTACGCGTCAAAACTGAGAGTATACATCCTCAAAGTTAGGCATGTGCTTATCAGAAATTTACCTTTTCAAATCAGAGATGTCAACATCTCTCTCTGGAGCTCTCCCTGGTTTACCTCTTGGGAAATGATTTATAATCACCTCATTGTTCAAGCAAGTGATTTTGTATATCCCGCTCTTGTTAAAAATCTTTGGCTTCCAGGTCAGAAAATGTGGAATACTAACCTCATAGATACTCTGTTTGATCCAAAATAGCAAACAATCTTAAACAGGTACCAATCATTCAGGAGGAAGGTGAAGACCTATTATGCTGGAGGCCTACTCCAACAGGGAAATTCACTACAAAAAGTGCATCCAAAACTTGTCTGCAGGCCATGCAAGAAGAAGGAGAGCCAAGGCCCAGAACTTTATCCAACAACACAAAAGAACTCTTAAAACAAGTTTGGAAGGAAAGAGAAATAGCTCCAAGGATACAAACTTTTGCATGGAGGCTAATTAGGAAAGCTTTACCTACAGGAAAAAGAGCACGTGAGTATTCAAAACACATTAGTATGCTTTGTGATAGATGTGGTTTAGAGGAGGATGATTTGCACATCTTTTCTGACTGTGCTTTTGCTAGAGCAGCTTGGTTTGCAAAACCATGGTATATAATATCTGACATGTTGAGCGAGAACTCAGATTCTTTAGTTAACATCATCTTAAATTTAGCTAATTCTAATCATCCACACGCCACTTTAAGAAATATTTTCACCTTTATGTGGTGCCTTTGGAAATTTCGAAATGAAAAACTTTTTCAGAAGAAAGATGCCTGTCCAACACATGTCTTTTCTGCTGCTCAAGCTATAAAAATAGTATGTCCTTGGAACAAAATATAATTGTACAGGAAACAGTAGCTTCTGGAGGAGAAAGAAAATACAAACAGGGAGAAAGAAAGCACACCCAAGGAAGTACAATTGACAACACTGAGCTCTCAACACCAATTAAAGTCTTTACAGATGCGGCGTGGAATGAATAGGAGCAAGCAAACACAACAGGAACAGGGAAAGCAGGTCTAGGGATTTTCATGCAGGTACAATAAGGACAATCAACATGGCATGTCAAGACTGCAGCAACAGCCATGAAGGCTCAATCGGCAATTCATGCTGAAGCTCTAGATATCAAATTAGCAACTATAATTTTAAACAGGTTGGGAATACATGAAGCAACCATTTTAATAGATAATCTCACATTGGCCAAGGCGGCGACAGCAAAGGGAGCCTAACTCGCAGCCCGGACATTCGATTATCAAAGGTCTTCTAACAGATTCTTGTGCCCACACAGCCTCTAGTAATGTTTAGGTTTTTCATGTCAGTAGAAATCAAAACACTGAGGCTCACGAAGCAGCTAGCCTATTCGCAGGAATTTCGTCCAAATCAAAAGGCTATAATTAAATGTAGTACAGTTGAATATCAGCAATGGCATCATTCCCTGGAACAAATTATTGGAGATGTATCACAGCAGGGGTATGCCATTAATCATGTAAATTGCTGTTATTTTGAATGAATGGCGCCTTGAGCGCCCCTGTGTTGTTAAAAAAAACTGAGAGTATGTAGTACCAGTAGTATATACTCCCTCCGTTTCTAAATATTTGTGTTTTTAGAGATTTCAATTAGACTACCACATACGGATGTATATAGACATATTTTAAAGTGTGGATTTACTCCGTATGTTGTCACTTGTTGAAATCTTTACAAAACAAATATTTAGGAACAGAGGGAGTAGTATATAAGAGCATTTAAAACCGCAATACCCAACTTTTGGCCCCCAAACGGACAGTGACCGGACAACACATAGAAAGTTAACTCTACAGTCGCAAACACCGTTTCCAAATTACCAAATTACCAAATGCACTATATTAAGGTAGTATGTGTTAGTTTCTGACCTTGAGTGGTGAAGACGAGCGACAGGTAGCGGCCTTGGATATCGCCGCGGAGATGTCACGGTGCTTGGCCGAGAACAACTAGTTGACGAGCGCTCCTTCGGAAGCCTCACAACGATCAACGTCACTTATCGCGCTCTCAGTCGCCCGCCACGTGTTACGCTCTGGGCGTTTCCTCCGGATATTATTTATTTTTATTTTTTCGCATGCGATTTCTGCTTTTTAAATGTTTTTTCTGGCTTTTTTATATTTCGGTTTTTCACCGGTCTTTCTTAGTTTTTGGATACATTTTTTAGAATTGCGCGAAAAAACATGTTTTCTTTTTCTTTTATTTTGCGAGAGTCACGGTTTTGCTTCCATGAGAGACATGGTTTTGCTTTCTCGAGAGTCACGGCCCTGCCTGTCGGAAACGGAAAAAAAACTCCATTTTCTATTTTTTTTCTTCCGCAAGAGGCACGGTTGTGCTTTCGCGAGAAGCACGGCCGTGTCTCTCGGAAACGAAAAAAAACTTGTTTCTGATTTTATTCCTTCCGCGAGAGACGCCATTTTGCTTCCGTGAGAGGCACGGCCGTGCCTCTCAGAAACGGAAAAAGAAATGTGTTTTCTGTTTTTTTTTCTTTCGCGAGAGGCACGATTTTGCTTCCGTGAGAGGCATGATTACGCTTTGCGATTGGCATGGCCGTGCCTCCTCGGAAACGAAAAAACGCGTTCTCTTTTTTTGCTTCCGCGAGAGGCACAATTTTTTTCGTGAAAAAAAAGTTCGTCAAAACCTATCAACATGGGATCTAGTTTTGAAGATCTCGACGCGAATAATCCAACCGTGAAAACGGTTCGAGATTGGAAAGCACGATTTAAGAGATAAAACGTTTTGAACAAACGGATCTACGAAAAAAGGGAAAACTCCCAGATTGCGACAAGTGGCGCCTATCCAGCACGCCACTTGTCGCAACTTGGAAAGTTAGGAGTGATCTTTGCAATGAATACTTTCTCAATTAGTGATTTGTTGCTTGGCCGGGTTGCGGCCGACGAGGACGAGATTAAGCCCCTTGCATGCTAGTTCCATTGGCCGTGGACCGGCCCATGCCGGATGATGGGCCGGGGATGACGACCCGTCTGCCCTAGCGGCGTCGTAGGTCCTTGGGCCGGCATAGGCAGAGGGTGAGGTTGTAAAGGAGCGGAAAGCCAAAGCGGTTACGTGGAGGGCGCCAAGAACCTACGTGGAGTGTGTGTGTTTTGATCAGATCTGGATTGTGTGTGTCCTCAACTCCTTTGTCTCAAAGGGAAACCTGCCTTATACTCGATGGAAGGTACCACAACCATTTATTAGGTAACCACATG